TGTGCGCTTCGACACATGGTCTAAAATTTTGGGTAGACCTGTGTAGTGCCATGAGTTGGACTTGATGATTCTTATGGGTCCCTTCCAACTCAGGATATTGTATGATTCTATGATGCACGCAGCACGGGCAACAAACAGGAGGAGCTGGAAGCCACCATGCGGCAAGCAAGCGATGACTTGGTTGCCATCACTGAAACGTGGTGGGACCACTCCCATGGCTGGAGTGCTGCAATGACTGGCTACAGGCTCTTCAGAAGGGACAGGCAGCACAGAAGGGGAGGTGATGTGGCTCTCTATATTATAGAGTGTTTTGATGTTGTGAAACTTGAGGCTGGGAATGATAAGGTTGAGTCCTTACGGGTTAGGATCAGTGGGAAGGTCAACAAGGCAGGCATCCTGGTGAGGGTCTGTTATAGACCACCAAACCAGGATGAGGAGATGGATGAGGTGTTCTACAAGCAGCTGGCAGAAGTCATGCAATTGCCAGCACTTGTTCTTGTGGGGACTTCAACTTCCCAGACATATCCTGGAAATAAAATACAGCTCAGAGGGAGCAGTCTAGGAAGTTTCTGGAGAGCATTGAAGATACCTTCCTGACACAGCTGGTTAGTGAGCCTACCAGGGGACGTGCCCCGCTAGACCTTCTGTTCACAAACAGAGAAAGACTGGTGGGAGATGTGGTGGTCGGGAGCTGTCTTGGGCAGAGTGATCATGAAATTTTAGTGTTCTCTATTCTCAGTAAAGTCAGAAGGGGGACCAATAAAACTGCTGTCTTAGATTTCTGGAGGGTAGATTTTGAGCTGTTCAGGTCACTGGTTGGCAGAGTCCCCTGGCTGGCAGTTCTGAAGGGCAGAGGAGTCCAGGAAGGCTGAGCGCGCTTCAAGAAGGAAATCTTAAAGACTCAGGAGCAAACCGTCCCCATGCGCCCAAAGACGAGTCGGTGACAGCAGCATCCTGGCTTGTATCAGAAGCAGTGTGGCCAGCAGGTCTCGGGAAGTGATTGTCCCCCTGTACTCAGCTCTGGTGAGGCTGCACCTCGAGTACTGTGTTCAGTTTTGGGCCCCTCGCTACAAGAAGGACATCGAGGTGCTCGAGCGAGTCCAGAGAAGGGCGATGAAGCTGGTGAGGGGCCTGGAGAACAAGTCCTACGAGGAGCGGCTGAGGGGGCTGGGCTTGTTCAGCCTGGAGAAAAGGAGGCTCAGGGGCGACCTTATTGCTCTCTACAGGTACCTTAAAGGAGGCTGTAGTGAGGTGGGGGTTGGTCTATTCACCCATGTGCCTGGTGACAGGACGAGGGGGAATGGGCTGAAGTTGCGCCAGGGGAGGTTTAGGTTGGATGTTAGGAAGAACTTCCTTACCGAAAGGGTTGTGAGGCATTGGCTGCCCAGGGAGGTGGTGGAGTCACCATCCCTGGAAGTCTTTAAAAGACGTTTAGATGTAGAGCTTAGGGATATGGTTTAGTGGAGGACTTGTTAGTGTTAGGTCAGAGGTTGGACTAGGTGATCTTGGAGGTCTCTTCCAACCTAGATGATTCTGTGATTCTGTAATACACATCTAAGTTGGTCATACCCATTTCAGGTATGTCACCTTTTGTACATGAATCACTCCTTACTTTCTCTGTGAGTTCAAAAATGCTGTGTAGCACTACTTCTGGGCATCTTAATGCTTTATGGTTGCCAGCTGTTTTCAATATTCTACAGCTTGTGTTGGGATGCATCAGCAACATATAACAACATGGGCATTCTTTTTTGCTCCCACCACACAAACCCCCTTATTCTAGTTTTATTCATTATGTATTAGGCATGCTTTGAAAGCCAACTCTTTAAAAAAAAAAAAGGCACTATCCCAAAAAATGAAGTGATGTGTTTTGACTACAGTGTCATTACTAATACTAGTTTCAAAGCAGTCTGGTAGGTTTGAGAACTTAATCTTCCTTCTGCAAAATGTGAACTGGTCTGCAAAATGCACGTTATCGAATGGAATGTTAGCACGGAGAGAAGAAAGTAGAGCTAATAGGACAGAGCTTATTCATAGTAAGCGTACTGTCAGCAAGCGTGAGTTGTAATTGTATGTCATGTAATTGGAATATTTGTATTTTCCACTGATGAAAAGAATTGAAAATTCTTGTGTCAAAAGCAAGAACTGTTGAAGGAAAGCTCTGAATGTACATTCATGGGACAAAATAAGGAGAGAAGGATCAAATTCTGCACCTAAGGAGGAATAACCTCAGGGAAACAGCTCCATGGAAGAGAACCTGGGTATCCCAGGGGACAGCAAGTTGGACAGAAGACAGCAGTGGGCCTGGCAGCAAGGAAGTCTGACTACAAATTGGGCTGTATGAACAGGAGCAGAGACAGCAGAGGGAGGGAAGCGAACCTCATCTACTCGGCATTTGTTAGATCCTATTCCAAATACTCTCTGTTCAGCCAAGGGGCCACCAAGGTGCTGGAGCTGGAGCACACGCTGTGCGAGGACAGGCAGAGAGAGCAGTGTGTGTTTAGCCAGGAGAACGGGCGGCTTTGGGGGCAGCAAAAAGTGGCTGTCTCAGATAGTAAGAGAAAATTGTCAGGAAGATGGAGCTGGGCTTTTCTACAACAGTGGGTGGAGGGAGGCTAAGAGACCACTGGCATACACTGAACAAGATAGTTTCAGACAGGCTAAAATAAGGAAAGGTGTTTTACCTTGACAGCCAAGTAGTAGGAACAGGTTGCCCAGAGAGGTTGTGAACCTGGTTGTGAAGAGGTTTTGGAACTGTCACGTGCCATTTCCTTTATCTGCTTAATGAGCTGTATCACACGGTTCAAGTGATAAAGAATCAGAGCTTAATGAAGTTTTTGTGTCATCCCAAACCAGAAAAAGGTTTGGATTTGTTTTAGGGGGTAGAACAGTAGAAGAGGGTCTTTCTGAATTGATTTCCCTAATGGAGCTGAGTCTTTAGATGAAGGTCTTGGGTGCAATTCCAAAAGCAGAAGGGCCCTTGAAATCCCCGAATTCCTAGAATCACACTGATTCCTTAACTAACTAAACATCAGACCTTCTCCTTAATTCTGCTTCATTTAGAAAGAGTCTAGAAAATGGGGGGGACTTGAGGATGTCCTCAGTGTTGCCAGCAGCAGCCCTTGACTCAGGGAAATACGAGAAGCCCAAATTCATATAATACTTTTGTGATGCCCTGGGCGAGTTCGCAGGAGATGAGGAGGGTAAGTAATAAATAAGAAAACATACTTAATGCCCTCTGCCAGCACGACAAAGCTGAACTTCAGGGACACAACTATTTTACATTAGTCAGTATCCTTCTAAGCTTGATTGACTCTGAAATTTCAAAATTCCTTCTTGAATCAAAAATTTTGGGATTTTTTTTAAAAAAAACAAAACAAAACAAAACTTTTTTTGAAAAAAAGTTGGCTAATAAAGAGTGACTGTGTAATGTTTAGTCACTTCGCCTACTGCTGTTTTTGGCATCCACATGTGTGAGTACCGTGGAAATCACAAAATGTGCTTGCTGCTCTGCATCTCAGTATAATTTGTGGATGGTATAATCTCAGTATAATTTGTGCTGGACATCGTTATTCTCACCGGTCATTTTCTGTGTTAGCATAAAAATAATTGCACTTAAAGGCAAGCCCCAAACCTTCAGTGTGGGTGACTGACAGCTTGCTATCTACTTGCAGTAACATCCCAGAGCATACAGAAGGCAACTTTCAGCACAAGGACAGGCAGGAGTTACCCTTCTTTTGTTGCAGGAAGAATGTACACATTGAAGGGTGCTCTGAAGGACGCTTTGCTCTGCATCCTACCTTAGGTTTTGGTTACTTACATGTTTACGTATCAGTGATTTGTGGGTGAAAGAGGTTCTTGGGGCAAGAGGCAAGAGCTGACTGGCTCATCTGTTGGCTTTCTATAGAAAAACCAAAATAACTCTGTTCTCCTTGCTGTGCATTTTCAAACTGGTAGGACCTGTGTGCTCACTGCAGGGCAGAATTTGACTTACTGCTTTTCTTGTTTGTTTGGTTTTTTCACTTTCTGTCATACCTAATTGCAAAAGCAGTCTTTCAAATATAGGTAGTTATTTGGTATTTAGTTTCTTATCATGGCTGCCTTAGAGCTGTTCATTGTGTTGCTATATATAGAAATTGAATTGCCTTGCTTCAGCCCCAGCTTCAATCAACAAATGGTCTCAAGGGAGAACTCCCATCACAGATGATATACCTGAACATTGCTGTGACAATGCTTGTGATGGCTGGCTCTGCAGCTGGAAAGGGAGAGGTAAAACAGTTACAGAAGAGGAGTTGAATTTCCGGTGTCCACAATGGTATCCTCTGTTTGGGGTTGAAGTTAATTTTGTTGGTAAAATTCCATGTTTTTCCAAGGCTAAAGCCAAACACTGGTTTCCTGAAGTTTTGTCTGACGTGGTTTTGCCTTTCATTTCTTGATCTTTTTTGTACACACAATTTATTGTTCCTAAAGTGATAATGCAGCTGGCAATAAATAGTAGGAGAGGTCTTTGCTTATGTTGTGAAATGCAATTAATTGTTTGGTTTAGTATGAACCAAATCTCGAGTTATATTTATCTGTGTTCCGTGTGTAAAGGTAATATTTATATGTAATTAAAACTCATACAGAAACTACCTAATTTTATACGCATCATTAGGCACAAGCTAAGAAAATGGAGATTCACTTTTGAATCAGAAGGTTTGTTGACAGAAAATGCTATTTGTAATATTTCTCTGTGTTTTGTGCTTTTGGTCTGAAAAGTCACTTCAAATTTTTATTTATTTTCTTATTAAAGAGCATTTTAGAGCACTGTTGTATAATATGTCATCATCATATTTATGTGACAGCATCAGACGTGAAATGCAGGAATTTATCCTTAAGAAAGGGGTGCATTAATTGTCCATGCATTGAAGTGACCTGTAGATTGCATGGGTTGCAGTGGAAGACACAGGCTCCTCGCGTGCTTTTTGTGAATCACAACCATGTCACATCTCTCTTTCATGTAGGTATTTTTGGCCAGAAACTAGAAGACACTGTCCGATACGAAAAGCGATATGGGAACCGCCTGGCTCCTATGCTGGTGGAGCAGTGTGTGGATTTTATCCGGCAGCGGGGGCTGAAAGAAGAAGGCCTTTTTCGGCTGCCTGGGCAGGCTAACCTTGTCAAGGAGTTGCAGGATGCGTTTGACTGTGGAGAGAAGCCTTCTTTTGACAGGTAAAATCCTCCAGCTGTCCCCCACGCCCTGAAGCCTAGGTAGGACACAAAGCGGTGTGCTGTTCTGGCTGACCCAAGGTGCTGTAAGACACGTGGCAGCGGCGATAGAATGAATGCTTTTGTACTTTTTTTTCTGCATGTTTCCTATTATCATTGTAACATTTTATTTTATTTTTTTTTCTGACTTTGATGTCTGGTTTCAAAGCATTTCTGGAGGAGTTCCATTTATGAAATGCTGGTTAGGAAATGTATCATTAATGGTTTGGCTTAATCAGAAATATCTGGATTTTCTTGATCTTGGTATAACTCGAAATGCAGTGTTGGTGCTGGGATTTAGTCAGTACCATAAAGGAAGAATTTGTCTCATCACCAATTGCAATATGTTCTGTTACCTATAAAACTGAATGGAAGGGAAGTCCGATTTTGTTTGATCTTTTATAATTTTGAGCCTCTTGCTTTAAAAAACAAAGGCTGCTGTGGCTGTAATCATAAACCCCAATGATTTTTAGTGTCCAGGTCCAAGATGCGTTCCAGTATTGATATAATTTTGCAAAGCTATTAAGAATTTTATGGGCCAAAAACGCAGTCCTATTCACACATCCTGTAGATGGCTTCAATCTGTAAGATCAATCTTCTGGGTAAGTTCAGCTCTTCTGAAACAACAACTGCAATAGTTTGTATATTCAGAAGGCATACAGTCAAAGAAACAGAACCAGTTGATTACAAATGCCCCAAAGCCTGCATTAAGCTCCGTATTAAGAGTTAGTATGATGTTAATGAAATTCCGGTTTCGGGGATTGTAGTCCTCGATGTGTGCTGTAAGTAACACCCATAAATACACCTCCAAAATGGATTTGGGATCCTTCATTCCCAGCAGGGCTCTAATCTGAATTAGGAGGAGGAAGAGGCAGGCTACATTTATTTTGTGGGACCTTTGATAGCAATCCAAGTAATGGGAAGGAAAGCACAGCTTGATTTTTAGTGCAAAAATATACCATGATATGAACCTGATTGCTGGAAAACATTTACCTCCTCTTCTTCCCTACTTCTCTATGAAGTAGGCAAATTTAGTATGTATGAAGGTATGTGTTTCACAGATGCACAGAAAGCAGACATCTGTAGTCTGTTTTATCTTGAACAGTTTCCTAAGTCCTGATGCTTAATCTAAGAAATGCCAAGAATTTATAATTGTGTGGAAAAGCAAAGTGATTTTCTTCATACGAGTTTTATTAATTCCTCATCAGAAGGTGAGAGTTAGGATGACTGACCAGAAAACAGTTTTGTGGAGCTGGAAAACTCTGGGAAGTGATAAGCTTACCTGGTAAATGTTTGAAGCATGCTTACAGACCGTTCAAATATAGCCTAACTTACCTAAAACCATGTAGAAAATTACAGTAATTGGGAACCTGCTGGGTATCTTTTCCTTTCTTTGACATTTAGCTAAATATTGCTGGTCATGTTCCTGGCACAATCTCTACCAAAGGTACAAGTGGGCAAATGCTACGGGCAAATGAAACCAAAGGTTATTTTTTCAATGCCTGCAAGCCAAATGATCGTGGAGGAAATGCTTAAGAAATAGACTGGCCCCAAGCCCCAGGAAGATGATGTACTGAACACCCCACTGAGACGTGCAGCTTGAAAGAGGTGCATAAGGTCTATCTATTCAAAGCAAATGAGACCAGAGATGAGCTGCTTAAATTATTTTTGCAAAGTTATTTAACAGTGTCTGTAGCACACACTAATGAGACCCAGGAACAGGCACGCAGGTTGAGCTTTAGCAGATGAAATGGAGAAGAGAGTTTAAACGCCAGTGCTGTGAAGTAAGCACATGATCTCCACTACAGCAAAAAAGAAACATGAGCAGGAGTTAGCTATCAGTCTTTAGTAGTGCAGTTCTGCTTCTGAAGCTGAGAATTTATAGAAGACCAGCTTTGTATCCCTGTGTGTCCTTTTTCGAAGGGTCCTTTTTCTGGTTACTTTTTCACATTTGAATTTGGAGGTAATGTGTGACTTTGCTGTAGCAAATGGACCAGAAGTCAGGCAGATTTAATCTCTGCTCTCACCTCTGCCATTGGGCATCTACTTTTTTCCTACAATCTTTTGTTTCAGTTGTATGCTTTGGAGTTCATTTCACAGTTTTGAAAGAATACCTACATACTACCTTGGTTTTGGGTAGCCTTTCTTTTCCTTGTGCTGAAGAGCAGCATGTTCTCTGGGTTTGATGGAAATGGTATGGCAAGCTGAGCTCCTGGAAAGTGGCCACAGGCTGAAAAGTTGCTGTAGAGAAAGGAGTGTATGCTAGGGTAGGGGGCTGTGCTTAGTTTTTGTCATGGAGTTCGAAATCCACTGGGTTTATTCTGTAATTATCTATTTGTAGTCACCAGCCTGGTAGTGCAAAATCTCCTGTTTTTTGTTTATTAATTTACATTCCCTCCTTCTCATACATCAGTAGTAATAATGATTGAGCGTTTAGAGCTTGGCTGACAGTTTTGTTGATGGGACAAGAAACACAATGGAAGCCAGGTCACGCTTCCATAGCAGTGCCGGGTCACCAGCTTGGACTGGGAGAAAGACTGGCTGTTGTCATTGGGGCTGGAAGTAATACAAAGAGCTGATGTTTGAGTAGTTTGCCATTTTTCATAGTGACATTTTTTCTGCATGTAAGTACACGTAGGTGAAACAAAGACTTCAGAATTAATGAAGTCACCGTGAAATGCGTAGGTATGCAGGTGTATGGGTTTATGTGAGAAATTAGATTATTAAATAACCATTCTTATGCTTTGTTAGCTTATTCTGTACAATTCACAACTTGTAGAAACAAAAGGAAAAAGAAAGGTAAGGTTTTACAGTTGTGATTAGTACTCTTTTAATATTAAATTTCTATTTTTGGGAGATGGAGTTCAATTGCACAGATATCTTTTTTTGCGCAGTGGCCTTGAGCGTAGCTGCTGTCCACGGTTCTCTGGATACACTGCCCTTATCCCCTCCCGTGCTCCTGTCCGTGCCCGTTTGACAAAGACAAATGAAAGCAAACAGGAAGAGCACGATGCATTTTAAGGGAGAAAACTAGCCTTGCTCAGAGGATAGAAAAATTGCAGCCATGTTTTGGAAACATGAGACACATCTGACAAATTGTAGCTCCCATGAGTTAGCAGCTGGATGTGCTGTTGCTGGTCAGTTACAAAAATGTAGTGAATCCAGGACAATTCAGAAAATAGCAAAAAATCTTCACATATTAATTTGAGCTTGATCTTATTTTATAGGTTGATAAAATGTTGCTTAAGAATTGTGAGCTTTGTGTACACAATTCAGTGAGAGTGGAGCCAATATTTGAAATTTCTTAAACTTGCAAAATGACAAAACCCGGTATCCAATCTGAAACATCCAACATCCCAGCTGCTATGAAAACTGGCACATCAGCATTTACATTTCTTGTGGTCTTGCAAAGGGGAGGTACAGTTGCAAAAGCAGAAAAATGCTGATGCCTTTTGTATGAAGGAAAAAAAATAATAATAATGAAAACTGTATGACAGTTTAAAAAAAATCAAATAATATCCCACTCCGTATGTATGTATTATATGCACATCCTATGATATCTGTTTTGAGGAACTAGCACTAGAATTAGTTAATCACGTGAGCTCACTACTATTTGAAATATCCCTGGTATTTGCCATCTCTGTGTAGAATTGTCCCCTCCAGGGAATCCATTTTGCTTGCCTTTGGGGTAGGTTTCTTTCTGCTTGTGTGGCTTACATTTTAAATTTGAAGTCCCTCAGCTGCATTACAAATCACACGTTTGTAAAGATACGAAGTGGATTATGACTATTTGTTCTGTAAAATTAGCATAGGAAATATGGCACTGCATAAGGAAAATAGCAATAAGGGTTCATTTTGCAATTTTTACACACAAAATTTGATTATTCTTTTTATATTATCTCTTTCCTTCTACTGTTCATCACAGTTATTGCCAGAAGACATGAGAATTATGATTTCTCAGGGAGAAAAAAATATTTGAAGTGTCACTGAAACAGATATTAATACTTACGTGACTGATCTATGTATGTGGCTTGGAATTTCCAACTGTTATTGTTGATATATATAGCCCAGTAGTTTGCTGGGGTTTAGAATCGCATTGTTTACCTGCCTGCGTTTTTGAGTATGCACAAAAGAAAAGGCAAGCACACACTTGCACATTTAGCAAAACAAAATCCCTTTTCCATTCTCTCATGCGTATAGATCGCTTTAAAAGAGAAGGCAGTAGGTGATAGGACAAAATATTCCTTGTTGCTCTAGTCGCCGTAGCTGTCAGCTGAGAAAAGGATATGTAAGTGGCAGGATGTGATGGCTGGCAAATATTAGCCATTATTCACCGCAGTCAAACAATCCGGAGCACGGAACTAGCACATTTAATCTCTGTACATTTAATCACCGGGATTGTCAAAGAAAAAGAGGTGAATGATGAGGATGGTACGAGGTAATATCCTCGGTGTCAGAAGGACCACATGCCCAAGTCAATATACAGAGAACAGCACTGTCTACCAATCGTTCCTGCATCCTCCCTCAGCAAGGGCATACTCAAAGCATACCATAAATTACTTTCAACTTCAAATCGACCTGACTGAATGATTTTAGGGAGGATTCTTCTCCACTGGCTGTGTCTGCACATATCCTGAAGCCCATGAAGAGTGCATGTATCAGAGGGAAGACAGCGAAGACACAGTCTCCCTGAGCATGCTGAGACAGCAAGGCAATCACTTAGGGCTTCTGAGATTTTTTGCTTCTAGGACTAAAGCAGCCCCCCTGTGTAGCAACGCACAAGAACACCAACCTCATGTACAGCAGGGCATGGGCACCCCCTCGCTGGCTCTGTGAGGGGTAATGGGGACACTCAGCCTTCCAGGCTTGGTATAAAACTACAATGCTGATGCAAAAGAGAGAAAGCAGGTGTGCCAGCTCTAGATTCAAGACTTCTCTGAACAGTGGACATGGGGACAGCATTT